TTTTTTTTTTTTTTTTTTTTTGTTCTCAATGAAGGTTTTGGCTCTTTATAGAGGGAGAGGGAAAAAAAAAGAAAGAAAAAAAAAACATTAGAATGAGAGGTCCATACAGGCAAGTGGTGTCTAAAAGTGTCAGATTTTAACTTCTAGGACAATTTTTTAACTGGGCTTTTCTACGTTTCTTGTAATCCTCCTTTACCCAAGTTGTAGTAATCACTGCATCCATTTGAACTTGGCATGATTTTCATCCCTTTTGTTGAGAATGGATTAAATTTTAACAATGTAGATCAGCAGAATAAGTGAGACAAAGTAGGGACAAAAACTCTTAGAAAGAAATTACTTGGATGTTTACTTTTTGTTTCAATAGTTAAATGTATGTAGCTGAAAATTCAGTCGGGCTGGGAGATGTTCTACTCGTTTGTAGGGTGTGCTTTTTATCTTGTTTCAATTTTATTCGGGTCGGTATTGTGTAATGCAATTGAGATAAGATCAATGTTTGGAAATTTGGAAGTTGGTTGTGAATATTCAGTGACCAAGTCATACAATTATATATATTGCTAGTCATTCGGTCAATTGCGGTGAACATGCTTTATCTTAAAAATGTTTAAATAAAATCATCAAGAAACAAACGATTATTGGAGTGTTATGATTTAAAAGTGTCTTTCAATTTATAGAACTGTCTTGTTTTTCCTCCTCTTTCGTTTTGGATTCTCCTTTTAACTTGTCATGTTTTATATGATCATAAGACTTTTGTTGAGAACCCTGGTCTGGAGCAGTATATGACGATTTTCAATTTACTTTTGCACAGGTGGTGCTTCAAAGATATTGATGATAACTCTGCAGATGATTTTTATGGTCTTGTAATTGCGGCTGGTAGATCAGGAAATTGTCGGATGACCGAAGCTTGTGTGCTTCCACCTGTTAAAAAACCAAGAAAGGAACGGAACCGAGGAAAATTGTCTGGATCAGCAGCTGCAACTGAGGCGATGGATGAAGAAATGTGGAAAGATTTCCCAGAAGACCTTTTTGAAGCTGTCATTGCAAGACTTCCCATTGCTACATTCTTCCGCTTTCGTGCTGTTTGCCAAAAATGGAACTCGCTGCTAAACTCTGAAACTTTTGCTCTTTACCGTGCTCAAATCCCGCAAACTACCCCCTGGTTCTACACCATTACTCATGACATGGTTAGTTCGGGAGCCATATACGACCCTTCTTCCAACAAATGGTACCATCCATCCATTTCATCTCAGCCTGTTAGATTACTCGTCCTGCCTGTTGCATCTGCTGGAGGGCTTGTGTGCTTGCTTGATTTCAGTCATAAGAACTTCTTTGTATGCAATCCTCTAACCCGATCTTTTAAAGAGTTGCCAGCTAGATCAGTTGAAGTGTGGTCTCGTGTTGCAGTAGGGATGACTCTAAATGGAAGTTCGGCCAGTGGGGGCTACAAGATCTTATGTCTGGGCTGTGATGGAGAGTATGAGGTTTACGACTCCATAGAAAACTCGTGGACTCATCCTCGGAGCATGCCTTCTACAATTAAGCTTCCATTAACCCTGAAACACCGCTCACAAGCTGTCTCCATTGACAACTTTGTTTACTTCATGCGTTCGGATCCTGAAGGGATTATGTCCTACAACATGGTCACTGGGATTTGGAATGAGTTTATCGTTCCCTCTCCGCGCCATCTGACAGACCATACACTTGCAGACTTCGGGGGCCGGCTCATGCTCGTGGGGTTGTTGACGAAAAATGCTGCCACATGCGTGTGTATATGGGAGCTGCAGAAGATGACTCTCTTATGGAAGGAGGTTGACAGAATGCCAAACATATGGTGCTTGGAGTTTTATGGAAAGCACGTTAGAATGAATTGCTTGGGAAACAAAGGGTTGCTCATGCTGTCCTTAAGATCAAGGCAAATGAACAGATTGGTTACGTACGACGTGACGAGCAAGGAATGGTTGAAGGTTCCCGTGTTGCCTCGCGGGAGGAAGCGACAATGGATAACATCGGGTACTGCATTTTACCCTTGCCCAACTGCTGTGGCTTAACTTAGCTTTTGCAGACATGTACACTCAATGGACGAAGTTGGTTGTTGTTTTAACGTGTGTAAGCTTTATGTCTTACCACGCTTGCCCTCTGTGCTACTGCTTTTCGTGATCTTGTAGTTTTTACTTTTGATGAACTAGATTTCCCAAAAAATTAGACCTTTTTCTGGTTTTGGTGTACAAAATTAGCTTTAAAACGTCAAAAAGACGAGTTCTAAGAATTTCGTTTTCTGTGTGGCTGAAATTGTATATCATATCTTTATTTCCAAAACAAAACATTCTCTGTTCTTTTGGCTAAAAAGAAGTTGAAGAAGCTCCTTTTGGGTCAATAATTTTGGCTAAAAATGCATGCAAAGTCTCCATTTTTGGGTCTCTTTGTTGTGAAATAGGGTTTAGCTTTTTGGCAATTTTTCCAAGGAGCTGAATATGACTCTTAACTAAACCCTACTCATTGTCATTTTGACCACATGACGAAATGAATCTTTGAATTGATTTAAATTGTGTTCTTCTGGTCCAAAAGATAAAAGAATTCTGTTCTGAAAACAAGAAATAAACACTATAAAACTCAATAGAAAATAACTTCATTTAAGGAAGAAATAAATTAGTTTAACCAAACCAATTGTTAATAATATGATGTCAAAGCAGGAAAAGGACCAACAATTCTATTATCAAGTTCTTGAAATCCACTAGTACGAACTGTGGAATCATTCCCTTTTTTTAAAAAAATTTCCCTTTCCTTCTGTGTCGTCTACGAAAGGGAGGACGGGATCGAGCAGTAACGCCATTCTCTCAAAATCAGAGCATCGCATCGCATCAAGCCATTCCTCCTCCTGTTGCTGTCCTGATTATCTGGAAGAGCGCTGTTGAGTAAACAAAGATTAGTAACATTCATAATACCCTTTGAATACAAAAGGGGGATAACATGGCAAAGATGAAAATGTTCGTCAGTATATATGCTATGGTGGGTTCGACATAGATTTTCAAGATTAATACATCATCCTTGGAACACGACAAGTTTGCTTGTTGTTTTGCAATCGAGATCAAAAAGATGTCACAACCCTGTAAGACAGGTAATGAAGGTTGTTCTAGGATGGTGAGGTAAACGTAATAAAACCATGGGACCTCCCTAGATAATTCATCCGCATATTGCAACACAATGTGAATAAATTCCGTCTTTTGAGCTGACATGATCTAACATGTGAAGGACATAAGACTCGTATAGTCGAAGAATTAAACGGTAGCGTACTTGTTCTGTTTTTCTTGGTTGAGTCCTCTTGCAATCATCTAGATTAATTTCACTACCGCCAACCTTACTACATGATCTTAAGTTTAGGAAGATGAACGGGGTAGCTTGAACCTATTTCCTCCTATATTATAAGCAACAAATTGACATATCCTGCACGGGCAATTTTGCTCTCATTCGATAAAAAATGTTTCGGTAGCATGGGAGCAAAATCACATCCCAAGGCCAGGAAACTCTGCCCGGACAAAATTTTACAAGATGCATGATCCAGATATGCAACAGAGAACGAAAACATGACAAATGATATGAGAGCTAGGATGGAATAAGGCTTACGGGACTGTCTCTATAACATGTGAGGGAAAGACTAGTAAAAAAATTAGAGCTATGAGCTCAGAATACTGAGCTGGAAAAAGGGAAGGAGACGAATGTGAATGAAGGAATGGAGCATTGACGAATCTGAAAATGAATACTAAAAGAGCTTACCAGATGCACCATCAAACTCAGACAGCTCGACTAGGTGGAAAAAAACATAAAAAGTGTTTCATGTTAGATGAAAACTTGAACATCTTGTTTTAAGATACTATTTTGAATCTAAGACAAACTAAGGTTAATTCCCTTCTTTGTTCTTGACTCCATCCTATACCTCGAACCAAGGATGAAAATATCCATAAATCCGTAAATCAAAGGGTTCAACATTGATATTGAAGATTAATCAATCTCTCTCATATCTTTTATAAATACCCATAAAAGATTATACATATTTAAATACTAATATCAAGATGTATTTATAAATTTATAATCACAGATTTTATCCATTTTAATCCTTGCCTAGAACTAGAACTCGTATACTTGGTTTATAAGAAGTAGCCACAACTTAAGCTACAAACTGTATATCAGATGAAGCAAAAACTTAAATGATATAAACACAACAAAGGATTAGTCTTACATGATCCAATGACAACGAATATGAAGAATCCAAGCAGCAGGGGCCCAACAGGATAATCCTTCCCCTTCTTAACAGTCGTCTCTGGAACAGCTCCTCTCCTTGTGATATTCCTATCGAACTTCCCGACCTTTCGGTCTGCAAGACGCCTTGATGTTGTCTACAAAAGCCGAAGGCAACATTTATCAAGTATTGTTCAAAAATATAAAAATTTAGGATACAGAGCGTTTCAGCAGCACTAATAATTCAAAACAAAATGAAATCGTTTTGTAAGCTCAATTTTTTTCCCCCATTAAAAACTATAACCTAGCCATATGTTGACCAAAAATCTTAGGATAAGATGGTCTAAATTACAAAATTGAGACTTGAGAAAACAACTATCAACTTAGATTAACACCCAAGAGGGATTACTTGTTTCCAATAATCTCCGTTCTGTTTTTTCTCTATTCTTATAAATATTCTCAATTAGGTTTCACGAAGAGTTCAGACCAATACTGACTACAAAATCCCTTTAAAAATTTCCCAATCAAAGACTATCACTAGTTTCAAATCACTAATTCCTCATATTCTACATTGTCAAAAGACCACTAATACGAACATTTAATCACTCAATTTCGGAATGAGATGCAATAAAAACCAATTAGCCAAAGGTCAAACAAAAAAAAACCTATAATGGCAAAACAGATCAGATTCAGACCGAATTCTCAACGAAGAACACAGAAAAAAGGATCACAATCCACAAAAAAAAAAAAAATTGCTTAGCAAAAGAATTAAACGATCCATCCAATGATAAACGAATTCAGTTAAGGAAAAACGATCGATATCACGAGTCAGTGATCAAAACCCTAGACAAAAATCATCCGCACTTACAGATCTGAGATGGAAACGAAACGAGGAAGAAAATTACCATGATCTTGGCAGGAAATTGAATAGCCGGAGAGATTCGAAGAATTGCAGTGATCGATTCTCCTCCTGGCCGGGCGGCGAGTTTTCTCTCCGGTTGATTAATGGTCTGATCCTTCGGTCGGTAATTTTGAGATTTAAATAATTTGACTTAATGGCTGGCATTGATACGGTCCCGAATTTTGCGTCACCGCCAGACGCTTATTGGGCGCCGCCACGTTTTATGATATACGTGGCTATTTCTTATTGGATGTTTGGGCAACGCCCACGTAACGTTTTTTGTAACACTATTTTTCACGAAAGAATAGAAAATTTGGATAAATATATAAATATGTAATTCGTGGGCCTAGAAATGAAATGTCGGCCCAAATTCCCAAAACGGGACCGGCCCACAGTCACATGCTCATTTCATGGACAAGCCCAATTTGCATCAGCCCAAATAGAACGCAATTAAGATAGTTCAATATTGCTAAAAGTTAAAAGCCCAAACAGGACATATTCTATCAGTGGGCTTGAGCTATTACAAAAATGGTATTAAAGCCAGACATAGAGCGATGTATCAGTTAGTAGACTGAACCCTAAAGTAGGATGAATACGAGACAGTGTGCCAACAAGAACACTAACCTCAAAACGGGTGGCAATATTCAAAATGGTTTGATTATATTTAATTACGTAAAAAAATAATAAAATGATTATTTTATTTATGCTCTAAAAAATAGGGTTTGGTAGCTTGCCAACATATTTAATTGTTTTAAAAACAATTATTAAAAAAGAAAAATAAGAAATGGGTAATAAAAATTTGATTAATAAATAGAAAAGGAAATTCCAACAAAAAAAGTCAAATTCAAATTGGTGAGTGCTATTCCATAATCTTTTCCCACCTCAACAACTCTTTTTTTTTATATATATATTTATTAATTAATCCTTACACTTTTAAAATTTTCATTTTAATTCCTATATTTTATACTAAACAATACTAATTATTAATTTTAATTATATATATATATATATATATATATATATATATATATATATATATATATAACAAAATGAGATAAGTAGCTTAAATAATTTAATTAATTAATCAATTTTGATTTACCAAAAGATAACCATTATTTATAAGATCTGAGAAAATTTTATTTTATTAAATGAAGAATTTGATACATCAATTTTATGAATAATAATTAATATTTTATCCACTCGAGCTATGCTCAAATTGGTTGATACACGGGCGAAATAAAAATTATAAAAATAAATAAACAAAAATAATCATTATATTTAGGGGGAAAAGCTCTAGTTTAGGTTTAAATATTCAAAAGCTATGGAATTTTGGCTCTATTTTTTTTTCACAATGTCAAGTTCTTAATTAATTAAATATTTGATTATTTGTCAACTTTTTTATTTTAAATAATGACTTGTTTGGAAATTCATCTTTGTTATAAAATAATAATAATTATTATTATTTTTTGTGTGGTTGAAGTCTACAATGGAGGTGAAACTAAAAACACACTTAATGCATAACTTTCCACCTAACCTCCACCATTGCTCACCTAATAACAATTAATAAATAACTAAATAAATAAATAAAATTCTTAACTTAATCTAAATTTTAAAATATTATATCCTATTTTCAAATAAAAAAATTCTTAGCATCCACACTGCGTGATGTCTAGCTCTTATACCATTTGTAATAGCCCAAGTCCACTGTTGTTAGATATTGTCCCCTTTAACTTGTTATGTATTGTCGTCAATCTCATAGTTTTAAAACGTGTCTGCTAGGGAGAGGTTTCCATACCTTATAAGGAATGCTTCGTTTTCATCTCTACTCGATGTGGGATCTCACAATCCACCCCCGTTGGGGACCTTGCATCCTCGTTGGCATATAGCTTAGTGTCCGACTTTGATACCAATTGTAAGAACACAAACTCACCACTAGCAAATATTGTTTGCTTTGATCTATTACGTGTTGTCGTCAACCTAATTGTTTTAAAATGCGTCTACTAAGAAGAGATTTCTACACCCTTACAAGGAACATTGTTTATCTCTCCAACCGATGTGAGATCTAATAATCCACCCTCCCTTCAGGACTTAGCATTTTCGTTGGCACGTTGCTTGATGTCTAGCTCTGATACCTTTTGTAACAGCCCAGACCTATCGCTAATAGATATTGTCCGCTTTGGCTCGTTACGTATCATCGTCAATCTCACAATTTAAATCGTGTCTGTTAAGGAGAGGTTTTCACACCCTTATAAGAAATCTTTTGTCTCCATCTCCAACTGATATGAGATCTCACAAGCGTGCTTTACTTAGAGCAATTTTTGAGTGGGCAACCTTATAGAAAGTTTCCTAAGATGCTGGTGAGTGTTGACAAAACATATTGAAAAGACTTGTATTGGTCTGTAGGATTACATTTGATGGTTTAATGAATATTCCACTTATTTGATGGGTCTATGGTTAAGCTCGGTATGAACAATCTTTGGCAAAAATTGATTGAAACTTTAGCACGAGCTCAAGAACGACACATTGGGATAATTTGATTTGATGGAGAGATAAACCGGTCAAAATCAATTTGATTCCACCATACACACCAAGTTCGACGAATCAAGTTACATTTTGAAAAGTCATTCTTTTTCTTTTTTTAATTCTATCTATTTTTTTTTTCTATGTGGCCGACCCATTCCCGGTCGGGCTAAATCAATAAAATAAAGGAATAAATCTATTACTTTGAAAAGTAATTTTAAAAAAAGTTAATTAACCTAAACATAAAGTAAAAGAGAAGTTAATAGGGATAATATTCGATTAGTAGAGGTATAGTAAGAAATTAAGGCAGTAAAATCATGTGGTTAATATTTTATGGTAAATAAATGAGAGAATTATGGAATATTTGTAAAGGAACAACTTCTTTCTTACGCAATTAAAGAAAGATATTATAACAAAAATGTGTACAGCGGAGCCGACAAGGTTGTCCAAGTCGGCGGTACACGTGGGACAGGGATGCTCTCCCTTCCAATTTATTAATAAATAATTTAATGCTTTGTTCATTCGGAATATGCCACGTGTCAGATTATGACACGTAGGATGATATTATTGGTTCGAGATGTGAGAACCGGTGCGCTGACGTGGGGATGTCTCTGTCAGAACAGCTCCCATCAGGTGGGCCCCACGGAACCACCACAATTAAATAATTTTCTTAGGAAAAAAAAATAAAAGAAAAAGGAAATTAAACAGAGGAGTGGGTAATGGGAACAAGCCCCCTTGCTATATTTTCCCATCGCTTTTCACTTTAATTACCATTTTGCCACTCATATGATTTGATCAATTAATAAATATAAAATTTTAACTTTTTCCAAAATTACAACTTTACCCTTTTAGAAACTAAGATTGGTTGGGAAGATATCACTGTTTAAGTTAAACTCGTTGCCTAGCTGGTTTGTCATGGTAAGTGTAACTGCTCACGTCCACTACTAGCAAATATTGTTTTTTAAGTTTTTCCTTTCAAAGTTTTTAAAACGCATTGACTAATCTCCTCCCTATTCGAAGTGGGATTTCACAATTCACCCTTTTGGAGCCCAACGTCTTCGTTGAACACTCGTTCCCTTTTCCAATCGACGTGGGACCCCCAATCCACTCCTTAAGGGCTTAACGTCCTTACTGGCACACTACTTCGAGTCTACCCCCTTCAGGCTCAACCTCATTGCTGACACACCACCTTGTATCCACCCCCTTCAAGCTCAGCCTCTTCACTGACTCTGATATCATTTGTAACAGCCCAAGTCCATTGCTAGCAAATATTGTCTTCTTTGGGATTACCCTTTTAAGCTTCAGGAGACTAGAAACGCATTTTAAAAACTTGAGGAGGAGCAGGGTTGGGCGAGAAAAAGGGGCGGAGGAAGAGATAGAAAGAGGGTTATTGAGTAAATAAGAGTGGGAAGGAAGGGTAGTTTTGTCCTAAAAAAAGAAGAGCATTGGAAGGAGGAGTTAGCGTGTAGAAATGTGCATGGTGGGGGGATGTGGTATGAATAGATGAAATGGATAAGGAAGGATATGGAGAAAGAAGCAAAGTTAAGAGATAGAGACAGAGAGAAGCATTAATTTGGTTGATGAGTGGGACTGCGCCCTTTTTTCTACTCTTTACCGCATCATCATTTCCTTTCATCATCATCATATGAGTTCGTTCTTTGTTCTTCCTCTGCCAGCAGCTTTAGATCTTTGCACCTTGCCTTTCTCAATGGTCGTTGTGTTTTTGTTCTTATTTTAACAACTGGGTTTTGTTCTTCAAATCCCACTTCTTAAACCAAGTTTGGGGGAATCTTTTGGGGAGCTCTGTTTCGACCAATTTCACGTTCTGGGTTTTGGTCAAATTCTGTTTTTGAGTATCAGAAGCGTTCTTGTTTTCAACTCATCCAGGGCTGGGTGGATATCAAACCATCTCTCCTCTCTCTAAAACCGTAGCTGATCTTAACAAAGAGGCCAGACCCATCTCAGGTTGCTCATGGTTTCAGCTTGATTTTCAATGAACTGGTTCATTAATGAAGTCATGGAAGCCAAGGGTGGTTTGGTATGGGTCCAGTTTTGGGAGAAGCTCATTGGAAAGTGCTGCAAGATGCATCACCAGTACTATCAGTATATTGGATCCAAGAAGGCCAGAAACACTTGGTGGAGAAGGGTTTTGGTGGCCTGGGTTCTTTGTTCTGTGTTTGGTTCTTTGTGGATCTTCCATTACATGAGCTCTCAAGCTACAGAGAAGAGGAAAGAGGGGTTGGGAAGCATGTGTGATGAGCGGGCTAGGATGCTTCAAGATCAGTTCAATGTCAGTATGAACCATATCCAAGCAATGTCCATACTCATCTCCACCTTCCATCATGCCAAGAACCCTTCTGCTATAGATCAGGTATTCAATTGTGTTGTTTTTCATCATAATCCTTGTTTTTCTACTGGTTTTTCTTGTTCATGTATGGTTGTGTATGAAATTTGAAGTTATCTATGTTATGAACACACCTTGGCTTTGTGTTTGAAGTGCTTTTTCATGGAATCGAAGTGTTTTTGTAACGTCCTAGGTCCACCGCTGGCAGATATTGTTCTATTAGGGATCTCACAATTCGTTAGGAGTAGTAGTCTCTATTAGTCACTAACTTCGATACATATAGAGGACATTTGCGAGGTACACGGAACGAACTGCGTTCGAGAGGCCTCTTACCAGTGGTGTGGCGTATGCGGTAAGGGTGCTCCATTCGGAACGAGAGCGTTTCGAGAAGCAGCAGGGGTGGACAATTAAAAGGATGGATAAAATTGAACAAAGTCCGGTTCATGAAGATGACTATGCTCCAGAAGACCTGGAGCCATCGGCGACCCAAGACGAATATGCTCCCGTTATCTTCGCACAGGATACGATTTCTCATGTCGTTTCTCTTGATATGCTGTCGGGAAAGGTTAGATACTTTGTTATGTTTTGGAACCTTGTCTTGTCAATGAGATTCCTGTTATGTTGTGAGTATTTTAGTTGGATCTGATACTTTCTGTGAGTATTTTCGGAATGTTGTTAAAAGTTTCGAGCTTCGAACATGCGATGTTGTACTTAAAAGTTTGGAGCATAAGATTTAATATCGAGTTATTTGCATCACCAGGAAGACAGGAAGAACGTTTTACGAGCTAGAGCATCGGGAAAGGGAGTGTTAACAGCTCCATTCAAATTGATCAAAACAAATCGCCTGGGAGTCATACTTACGTTTGCTGTGTACAAGAGAGATCTTCCCTCGAATGCCACTCCAAACGAGAGGATTCAAGCTACAGATGGGTATGTCTTTCTTTGTGATGATCGAACTCGATACGTCTAGTTCTTAACGAAATCCGAATGGAACTTAAACTAAACATTTGTCAAACAGATATCTTGGGGGAGTTTTTGATATCGAGTCGCTCGTGGAGAAGCTACTTCAACAGCTTGCAAGCAACCAAACCATCCTAGTGAATGTTTATGATACTACGAACCAATCACACCCGATCAGTATGTACGGTAAAGACGTATCAGAAGACGGGTTGCAGCATGTTAGCCCGCTTAACTTTGGTGATCCAGATAGGAAGCACGAGATGCGATGCAGGTAATTACATCTCCATTTCGACGTAACAAGTTCAATCAAGTAATGGTAATTCTAAGTTTGTGACACAGATTCAAACAAAAACAACCATGGCCATGGTTAGCAATATCAACTTCAATTGGCATACTCATTATTGCATTGCTTTTGGGGTATATATTTCACGCAACCTTGAACCGTATCACGAAAGTGGAGGACGATTATCACGAGATGATGGAACTCAAGAAACGGGCAGAAGCTGCTGATGTTGCGAAATCTCAGGTATGTGGACACTTTGATTAGTCTCGTCTCGACATTGTCTCGACATTCGTCTACGAATTGAGCCTCAACAATTCTTCAACCCTTTGTAGTTCCTTGCAACCGTGTCTCATGAGATCAGATCCCCAATGAACGGCGTTCTAGGTGAGACTTTAGTTCGTTCTACGACGAAATTCTTCGAATTATACTATGTTCGAGTAATATCATACCGATTTCTTTCGATATTTCAGGGATGTTGGATTTGCTTATGGACACAGGCTTGGATTTCACCCAACAAGATTTTGTTAGAAGTGTACAAGATAGTGGAAAAGCTTTGGTGTCATTGGTAAATGAGGTTTTGGATCAAGCAAAGATTGAATCTGGAAAGCTTGAGCTTGAAGCCATTCCATTCAATCTGCAAGCAATTTTGGATGATATTTTGTCACTTTTTTCTGGGAAATCTCAAGAAAAAGGATTGGAGGTAATATTTTTGTTAAACGTACACGACTCTCCACAATGGTATGATATTGTCCACTTTGAGCATAAGCTCTCGTGGCATTGCTTTGGGTTTCCCCAAAGGCCTCGTACCAATGGAGAGATTATTCTTTGATTATAAACCCATGATCATTCCCTAAATTAGCCGATGTGGACTTTTATCATCCATTCTTCTTGTTTTACCTTTCTTTTTACTCACATTATATCGGCATGGCCGTTCGTCTGGATTACAGCTCGCAGTTTACATCTCGGACAGCGTCCCCGAGATGCTTGTCGGTGATCCGGGAAGGTTTAGGCAAATCATCACGAATCTCGTGGGGAACTCGATCAAGGCAAGTAACGCTTTTTTTCTACATGTCCATCTTGTTTAGCTGCTAAGTCATGATGTTTGGATTTGGCAGTTCACAGAGCAAGGACATATATTTATCACAGTTAATGTCGTTGAGGAGGTTCTTGAGTCGATTGATCTCGAGATCGAGTCATCAACGAATAGCACGTTGAGTGGCTATCCGGTTGCCAATAGGCGTCTCAGCTGGGCTGGATTTCAAACATTGAGTCAAGACGGACCGACGGCTTGTCATTTCCCGCCATTGTCACCAGACCATATTAACCTCATGGTATCCGTGGAAGATACAGGCGTTGGCATTCCCCTAGAAGCGCAATCACATGTTTTCACTCCCTTCATGCAGGTTCGACCGTCGACATCTAGAACGCACGGAGGAACGGGTATCGGGCTGAGTATTAGCAAATGTTTGGTTGGTCTGATGAAGGGGGAGATTGGTTTTGCAAGTGTACCTACGATTGGCTCGACCTTCACATTTACTGCGGTTTTCTCGAACGAGCCAAGTGAGTATGACAAATCCCAGCAAATTAAGAACACTTCCATCTCAGCGTCCTCGGCATTTAAGGGCATGAGGGCATTAGTCGTGGACCATCGACCGATTCGAGCCAAAGTATCGAGATATCATATTCAACGTCTTGGAATAAACGTCGAGTTATTACCTGACTTGAACCAATGTGTGCATACCACCATGATTGGTGGTTCAGCTATCAATATGATCTTTGTTGAGCAAGATCTTTGGGATAAGGATATGAGCATATCAGATGTTCTTATCCACAACTTGAGAAATTCAAATGGGGTTCCTCCCAAACTGTTTCTTCTTACTAACTCCAGCGATATAATTTCTGATGTACTAACTCCCATACTCATCTTAAAGCCCTTGAGGGCAGGCATGCTCGCTGCCTCTCTACACCGGTTCATGGGCGTCGGAATTAATCGCAACGGAGAGCTTCCTGTACACTCTCTCCATCATCTACTTCTCGGTCGGAAAATTCTTATCATAGATGACAATAAGGTTAACCGTATCGTTGCTGCTGGTGCTCTAAAACGGTATGGAGCTGATGTCGTATGCAAAAACAGTGGAATAGATGCCATCCGATTGCTTACGCCACCCCATCGATTCGATGCTTGTTTCATGGATATTCAGATGCCAGAAATGGATGGGTATGTCATATACTTACTTACTTTTCCTTGTTCTTTCTAAACATTTTGTAGCAATAATGAGCTGATCACTTCAGTGCTTGTTCTGCCTCACAGCTTTGAAGCTACACGAAGAATTCGGGAAATCGAATGTCGTATCAACGACAGTATCGAAGTTGGAGAACAATCAAAAGAAGCATACGAAAATAAATGTAATTGGCACGTACCCATCTTCGCCATGACTGCAGACGTAATCCAGGCGACACATGAGAAATGTCTTCGGTGTGGGATGGATGGATACGTTACGAAGCCATTTGAAATCGATCGACTTTACCGAGAGGTTTCTCAGTTTTTCCACAGTACCTCAAATGGAACTTTATAGACAGAAATCATATACTCCGGGTCTGTAGACGACACTGGCCCGCTCGGTCAGGCCGTACAGCATAAGGGTGTACATTACCTCCAAGTAAGTATTTTACTTGAAAGACATAGGATCCAGTTCACAATGTAGGCAATATATTCTGATACTAATGGTGAAAAGCTTCCATCATATTCTGTCTTTTGCAGTCGAAGATGATAGACTTACGCTTAATATGATGATGCCAGGCAAGCCTAAGTTTTGTTGTATAGTGTAAATAGTAGACAGACATAAGGTTGATGGAGTTTTCATCTCCGGACAAGTCGTTTTTCTATGTCCCTCTGCTACGACCTGAATTTGATTTTGACGGCCGGCATAGATCGACCCGCCCACTATTACAACGAAAAAAACCCTGCCCTTTTCCTTCGCTACTAGGAGAGTGCTACTTCTATCAGCGCCGGAGCTTGAGTTGAATTGATCGTGTGTCATGTGCAACGTCCATTGATTTAGACTCCTTCCCCCTTCCTAACTACGAATAAGATCGAGAAGAGCCCGAACCAAACCAAGAACGAAAACGATTGTTCAGTACAAGTTACCATATCGGTCACTGAGGTTGGTAAGTAACTCGAGATTCATTTGGTAGCAGAATTCAATAGGGAATTCTGATGTGAGAGTGATTGAAATCTTGGTTTGCAGTGATGATTTACAAGTTGCAGATCATGAGAGGGCCCTGAAAGGCAGTGTAGATATGAATTTAGATGGAAGAATGTTGTGTGGCGACTGGAAGGGAAGCGGTTTGTATATTAAGAACATGTTTGATTCTCATGTTTGGTTCAAGTGAAAATCGGCCAAAACCTTAATAAGATTTGAAAAAATTGATCATGTATAATTCTCTCTCACAGTTCCTGCTTCTTCAGGCCTGTGTCGTGTATAAAATTTTTACCATTCCTTTCAATATCTCAATATGGTTTGATCATTCTTCTCCTTATCCGAAAGTTATGTTATTTCGGCCGTTGTGTTATGTTATTTCGGCCGTTGTGTTGCTTTTTACTTGCTATATAACATTCCTTTTAAATCTTCTCTTATTATTACTTTCAAGCTCGTTTTCAAAAATCTCTTTACTCCCGTTTTTTAAAACCTTCATCTCAAACAGGGCTAGAGACTTGGGCATATATTGCTTGATTGTAGGTGACACAAATACAAATTGACTCGATTCACTTGGTGTTGGGAGTGTCTGCCGTACAATAGCAAAATTCGCTGCCCAAAAGAATACGATTGTGACGGATATGCGTGAATATTCTTGATTTGTCCGTTTTAAATGAATGTCCGTGTAGTTTTTAACCAAGCCATCAAACTATGATACTCCAAAGAAATGCTTTGTTATTTGGAGTATCTAAACTTTTGATAATTATATATAACATAAATTTTATACATAGTTGTTAATAGTTTAATAAAATTCTCATAATAGTTTATAATGTAAAAGCTATTTTTAACAAATTATGAAAACTAAATTCTAAATACTTATATATCATAAAATAAAATATAACTTCAAAAGCTACTTTTTTTTTTTCAGATAAAAGGGAAAAGACCTCAAAACTATAAGCAATCATTTTCTCAAGAGGAGGAGAAAAAATGGTTCTTTCACTTTAATTTTGATTTTTTTTTTTCTCAAAAGATAATCTCTGACCCCTAAATTACAAAGCAAATTTTCCATAAAACCAAACAAATATAATAATTACATAATCTGGGGATTCCTCCAAGCAAATCTCTCCATGTTTCTTCATCAGCACCGTTTGAAAAATTGTTGTCTAACCCCCATCTCCCTTTGTAGCTCAAGAACAACCAATGTTTTCCATCATCAAATCCAAAATTATTGCAAACCCATATGAGGAAGTTCTGGGATTTGGAGAGTGGGAAGCATAGAAGCTTCATCATGTTCTTGTTTTGGTGAATTCTCAACAATGGTTTTTGGGCGTTTGAGCGCTCCTGAGATCAAACTGCCCAGGAATCTAAAGGGATGGCTGATTTGATCTTTTACATTCAACATAATGGAGACCTCAGAAAGCTGCCAAACAACAGTCACCACTATCATCACTGAGACAAGACACTGAGTTAAAACGTTTTGCCTTTTCACCTTCTTCAGTTCCTTAACAATGTCTTCTCTACTAAAATCATCATCATCATCATCATCAGAGTTCTTAGCTTTCGATTTCAAATTATCTAATGCAGAAGCCAACTCCTCTGATTCCGTTCCTTCTTTTGTTCCTTCTTTCAGCGATTCAATCTGTTGGTGTTGAGGAAAATGAATTTGGTTTTCAAATTTACTATCCAAAGAAGCAGAGACAGGATTTGGAAGGGTGATATGATCATGAGCAAGTTCAGAAGGCCAAATCTAGGTGGATTTCAAATGATTTAACAACAACACTCCAGATTCGAATTCAATTTTCCTCCATAAATTGAGATTTCCTAACAGTGCGTAATGAAAGAAATTCCAGAAACTCACAATCGAAACATACGAAGAAGAAATCAAAGAAATACGAAGCAACAACTCAAAAACCTCAATCAAACATCGATTTCGAAGAATAAATTACAAAAGGCGTAGCGATAAGAATTTCGAAGTTTGTGTTTCGGAAATCAAAACCGTAAATCTTGCGTACCTGAGAGAGCAAATCGTGGAGAAGAGTACGGTCCCCGGTTTCATCGCAATCGTGGATGTAGCTTCGATCAGAGGATTGCTTGTTCTTGTTCTCATCAAGCAGCCTCTCAATGGCGAGTTTGATCAGCTCGAGGCGTTGCTCTTTTTCCATCGGACTGTTCCACTAGAAATTTCTATGGAAGAGGTGAGGGATTTTCTATCGCGCTCTTGTAGTATCGGTTCCGTCATGGCTAACCTCGACTGTGAGAATGACAGGTAGCATGAACATGCACGTGGCATGTAATGAGTGGTCTGTCTTCCGTATAATTTTGGTTCATGTAATTTTGGATTCAATTAATTCTTCTACATCCAAATTTTAATTTTTAATAAAACCTAAAATTAACATTCCTTTATATTACTATTATTATTTAACCCGTTTAGATAAAAATTAATTCAAAATTAGTAATATAAACAAATTTTACAATTTATTCCAATTTTATCCAATGAATATGAACCAAAATGGTATTTTAGTATCATTTTTTATTAAAATAAAATAAAAATATTCAAATATTTAAGCTATTAACTTAGAGTCGAATTATTAACTTAGAGTCGAATTATACTCATTTTAGTAATAACTAGTTACATAAAGATGAAAAATACATGTAATTAATGCTTCCATTCCTACATTGTCCTTGAATTTTTACAATGCAACAATTTTAGAGGTGAAAATTCCATATGGATAACCAACTAACAACGTCAGGTTGGTATAAAATTTGTTCGAGAGTTCAAATCCCTACCGAAACGTAAAAGTAAATAAATGAAAAAGGGATTAATTTAATAGCATAAATCTCCTAACATACTCCCATCCCAAACCATTTACAGCAGTAATACAAATCATTTACAGAGACAATATATGACTAAACATCTGTGCTTACCAAATTATAACCACTAGGGATACTGTACATATGATGGTTAACTAGAAAGGTAACTTGCAAAAAGAAAGATAAAATCCGTGAATGTTAGGTTAATCAGGATTACCAAGTTGCTCCTACACATACTTAGGATATTGATTACAATCTTCAGTCCCAGAAATGTCGACGAGAGAAGTCGATCCTGTGGATTAACGATCGGCACCATTAAGCTCAGCCTGTAAAAGTTAGGGATGTAAGATGTCATCAAAGAAAACCGTAGCACCACGAATTCAGCTCCATAAGAAGGTCAATATAAGGCTTGATCTACACTTAATTCACGAAGTCGTGAAAATGTAAATGATAAACTCGTATTGAGGATGTGTATATGATGCAAGATCAAGCTAAAACGGAGTCATGCTTATCGAATCAGAATCAAGTATAGGTGCTTAAGCAATAAGACATTATTGACATTCATAATTACCATTAAAAAGTATGGCTCACCTTAGCTTCTCGAAATCCTTTAAGCGTACGATGATATTGCTGACGAGCATCCAGAGAGTTAACCATCGATCGCACTCGTGAAACAGCCTCATCGATAGTAACTTCCACTTTTTCTTTGCGAAATACCTTTATAATATCGTCATCTTCATTTTCATCAATGGACTCTATATCGCTACGAAAACCTCTCAAACCGACTCCTTTCCTTCTCCAACGCAATACAACTTTATCAAGAATTCCAACAGCCCAACAAATTATTTTGTAATGCTTTCTAACTTGATACCCCCTCACATGTGCCTGTTAACAATGGAAAATGACAGCAATAAGGTTTTAAATAATAAAATGGAACAGCGTCAACATCTGAAGCTTTAGATTAGCGTGTTTAGTAACTGTGTGTAAATCATGCATGTTCATGGAGATCATATAGTACCTGTATCTTCACAACTTTTTGACGAATCGATAAGAACTCTTGACGACCTTTCCAACCTCTATACTTTTTTTGTATAGATAATGCAGCAGCGTTGCAATCACGTCGATTAGAAAACTTTAACTTTGACATTGCTAAGAGCCCCTGTATGTCATTTGGATCAATTCCATACTCATCTATGCAAGCAGCAAAAACTGCCTCTTTCTGCTGTCTCTTTCTGAAAGAATGTGCACGGAAAGCAGATTGAATACGTGCTGCTGCCTGTGCAGCGTTCCTTACTGCAGCTAACGTATCGCTTAGAGGGGTATAGTCCTCAGTAGAAGTGTGGTTCCCCTCTGAAATGCTATTTACAGTCATTTCTGCTTCTACCTCAACAGAGCCCTTGGAAAGTTCACCTTCTTCAAATGTGAGGGATGAAAGATGAGTAGTAAGTGCAACCTCTGATAAATAACCAGCAAGTCCCTTGTGTCCATGGATGTCCGCAATAGACGCTGCAGTTTTACCATCTGGATCTTGTGCACTAGGATCAGTCACAGAGCCAGCTGATGCTCCTGAGGCTATTAGTGAAGCAACCATTTTTTCCCTGATTTAAAAGCAAAATAATAGTAATAAATAAAAATAAAATAAAAATTTTCAAAAAATAAAAGAAGTCATCACACAAATACTAGGATAAAACTCATATATGTTGAAGGATACCACCGACTCATGTCCATCTTGAGAAAGATGAAGCAAATAAAGTATGTTTCCTAAGGGTAGCAAAAACAGTTGTTTCTTAATTTGTTCATTACTAGTTCAGGTTACATGGAATGCCCAGAATGGTGAATAAACTGTATGGAAAAGGAAAATCTCTGATTTTCATTCAAGTTTTTGTATGCAAGTGTATCCAACTACTTATCAGATATCCAAAATGTCATGAATGATTAGGTTCCACACCAGAAAATAAATCAAACATTGTTGGCCAAGTTTTTCCTTAAAAATCAAGTCCTTCTCACTAGATGAAGAGAAATCAGAAAACAGCATATTGCCCTTCCATCTTCTCTTTGAGCCATAGGCTCTAGAATAGTGTACTTTCTGAGGGCAGTTCTGTTAATATATAAGCTCTGAAATCATAAAAGTAAAAATAAACACTAAAAAAGTTGAACCTTCCAAATCGTGCGGCCCAGTGTAGAGCAGTCCATCCATTAATGTCACGGAAGTTTATATTCACACCACAACTGAGAATTGGGTTTAATGCCCACACATAGCCCAAGCCAGCAATCATGTGTATAATACCCTGTTCTTTCTTGGACAAGGAACAGCCTGCCGGATCATGTCTATCTTTCGGTTGGGAAGCAAGCCAGAGATGCAACTTGTCTTTTAGCAACTCTTGAAGAAGCCAATCAACGGTATCAGAAGGAGTTTCACTACCAACTAGAAGACCCTCTATCAAAGAACTCCACTGATCATCACCAGCTTTCACATAATTGCTCCTTACTTCAGAATTTACCGTGTTAGAGTCAGAGAGCAGTAATTGGACAAGCCTGACAAGTAACAACAGCTCCTCTGGACTCTTCGTAGCTCCACTAGAATGTGAGTAGCAATGACTGCAAACATTCATCTTATATTCAAACTCTCTGAATTCACTGCAGGGTTCCCGATTGCCAGATGTAATGCAGAAAGAAACTTTCCCAGGAAGGTGTGGAGGTGCTTCGCAATAAAGAGTCCCATTCTGAACAATCTGAAGAGGAACTTCAATATCTCCGAACATACAAGCCCAAGGAGATTCAGAAGGATCACAAAGAAAAGATCCAATAATGATGACCTGGATAGAGAGAATTTATGACTTAAATATTTGAACTATCAATGAGAATAACACAGGCTGCAACTGATCAGAATCAAAATAGAGCAAAAATTGTAACACTTCCTTTTACTACCCTTACGAGAGCCTATATCATTGTTCAGAAACCAAGCAATTGCAACAGTTCTGGATGTAATGCTAGTATTCTATATTTACGAACTCATCAAACATAAAGAAACCTGGTTAAAATAGTTTAATTTTCGGTTAACCATTGATCAAATTAGGTCAGAAATACTATCTTTGAGGTCCCTACAATTAATTACCTTGCATATTTCATAACTAATTAATTAATTGAAGTCATACGTAGTTAGAGTACAAGGCAATAGTCTAGCTGTTGGAAACAATACTGAAAATGAGTACATTGAACATATAGCATTTATAGGCTAAATCGTGTAGGCTACTGTTTTGTATGTTATAGGTTTGTTAGTTTCAACTAATAATTGGAGGTAAAAGGTTTTTTTTTTTTTTTTTTTTTTTTTTTTTGTAAACTAGCCGCTGCAGGATGATTTGGTTGTTCGGAAGTTAGTAATTAGTTGCACAATAGCCGCCTAAAGAAATAGTATAAATACTAGTCCTACTTGTATTTGTATCTTATCTTGAAGAAAAAGATTTCTTCCTGTATCATCTTACACTACTATATATATGTTTTAGTTCCTTATGTTAGGATATTTCTCCACTGCAGCCCCTAATGTGTAAAATGTTTCAATTAGTCCACTGCAGTCCTTATGTTTATAATATATTCATTTTACGTGGGCCAGAAGAAGACTTTGTTAAAGAGGCTGGAGAATGCCATCTGGGGTGTCCTGAGTGATGTTGTAGATAGGCGAGGGAACTTTTGTAAAGGGCGTGGAATCCTTTGGTGAGACTTTTAAGGATAGGCATAAAACTGTGACATGAGGAGGAAAGTCAATCAGTTAGATGATAGGGAAGAGAAGAATCGAACCTCCAGAAAGTCCGGAGATTTTTTTATTTCTTTCCCTTAAAAGAATATAATCACAGCAATTCTGCCAATATACGTCCATATGTACATATGTGTGTGTATGTGGATAAATAGTCACTGCATTTCCAATTACAAAGCCACCTTCACTATTCTGAAATACGGAACTTCCCCATTTACGTCCATATCAGGTCAACAAAGATGCCAACAGAAAATATGACATCAGCTCAAGGTAGAAATTGTAGCTGAAAAGGAAAGGGTAAGAGGAGAAAATATTTTGCAATTATTAAGAGTAAAATGCAAAATACCACAGGAAATTCTAAGATTCAAACGTTTATCAAGATAGACAGTACAGATCAAATGCATACATTGCCTCAACCTCACTAATATATTTGAGAAAGCAGTATAAAAAGCTAAAAAATCACAAGACTATCAAGGCAGCCATCAAGCATAACAAACTCTGTTGATCATCACAGCACAGAAATACAAAAAATTACAAGTACCTTGGTATTCTCAGTGGCATAACCCTGCTCAGGAACAATTTGGCGGATTATAAATTTCTGCACTTGTGGAA